TTGAACGCAAAACAATTTAAAATCTGTCAAGTTTTTTTTTTTTTTGTTAATAATGCATGTACATGTGCATGTTGGCTACCAATACAAGTATATACCAAAAAAAGGTTGAGAAATAGAATATTTCTACTCTTATACATACAGGAATATTCAATTAAATGGATTTTTTTTCCCAACAATTTCTTGAGTACTATAGAGAAAGCATGTTGATTTACAATCCTTAAGAATAATGCATATGTACGGGTTTCTATCACGACGTTTAGCCGTCTTAGAAAGCCTTAATTTGTGTTACTGTAGGTGAGTCGATGAGAGGAAAACGAACCTAGAATAAGCGCAGCAGGCACCCAACCACCAGTTTTGGACTTGTCAGCTGGATATCCCTTGTAATCCACTGCATCTGCTACTGTTAAACTCATCTTGCTCCTCTTAAGATTGTGACAGTATTGCTTGAAATTTGCTAGAGATTAAGAACTAATTATAAGTGAAAATTGATATGGCTTGAATTGATATTGAGATTCTAATGTAACTCTCCCACCTCACACTTGAATATGTTGTGCATTATTGTCCCTTTTATAGGCAAAGAGTTTGAAACTAAAGGGACCCTCCACCACCAGGTTGAGACAATGCATGGTAGGGATTAAGCCTATCCCATTTCTTGTTTGGAAGGTCGTGGGGACTGGTTTAGGTTTTGTTACTTTTAAGCACATTGTTAACATAACTTATCTAAAAGTTTAAACTGCATATAACATTGATGATATATAAATTTAGCCCCTATTTTGTGGTGATTAAAATTAGTTTTTCAGCAGATTTTGATAAAAGTTAATGAAATATGTGGTTGAAAAGTTATGGATCCCATGAAATGTGGTTAAAATGAATTGTTAACTTTAACTTTGATAAAAATTTCTATCAAATAGGGGCTTATATATGACCCTCACATGCACACTAATTTCATTTTTTAAAATATTTTTCATGATATGAATTGCAACAAGACTTGAATCTAACATGTGTTTTGACAACAAATTGAAGCACATAATATTAAAGCTTGAGGCATTATAGAGATACAACATTTGTTTACGTAAATTCACTCTTCAACACAATTCTCACATACACGACATGTTCATTTTTATTCATTTTTCCCCAAAAGTCTAATATATGCACAATTTACGTATTATTGGAGCCATGAAAGACTTGAATCTTAAATTTTTATCTATTCCATTACCATACTGAAGCATTTCGTCTAAAAATTTAAGCGATTAGAGAGAAAATACAATTTTTTTTTTATTTAAGTTTAATATTCATTGGAGATATTTGAAAGAAAATGAGGAAGATGAAAAGGTGATGTTGATTTGTATAAATTAGTGGAAGGAATGTAAGATGGGGGAATCTTGAACATGCAATGCCAATGGGATTTTGCTTGATTGTCACCTCTATAATGTATGGCATGTATGGATTAATATTATTTTGTGTTATGTATAGAATATGGACCAAAGTACACTAGGGTTCATGTATTCTTAAGTGCTTTTGCTACCCCACATGAAAAATATATTACCTTTTTGCTTTTCATTTATTGTCTTATTAACTTTGGTGTACACAAAATGTCGAACTGATAAGCATAAGAATGTTTTTCATGAAAATCATGTTATTTTGTATGAAGAAAAATTCATTGTCATTTTCAGTAAATAAAGAAGAAAGTTGCCGACCTCTAAGGTACATAGTGAAGCAGCTTACTATATAATCACTACGAGAAAAAAAAGAAACGCAACATGTAACGAAATATTTTGTTGAGGATGCCTATGTTTCTTCGCTATAATTGTTGGAAATTTTTCGAACCTGAATTATTAGGAAACTTTGAACTCGAAAAAGTTAGTAACAAAAACAAAAAACTTTTTGTAATTATTGATAAGTGTAGTTTTTATACTTATTTATTGGCGCTAAATCATGATATTTTATTGTCTTTTGAATTAAATTCTACCTAATTTATGTTAAATTGTATTTTGTAGGTAAAACTTTATATTTAATGAAGAATTGAATAAAAGAATGCAAAATAGCGGGAAAAATTGCAAAATTCAAAGTACGAGGACTAAATTGGCATAGGTTGCACAAATAAAAAAATGTTTAAGGATCAACTTGAATTATATAAAAAAATTGAGGACTTGGAAAGAAGAATTAATTTAATTTGGTATTAGAATTTACTGGGCCTCAACTTGGGCTTTTAAAATTGGACTAAACAAGGATTGCAATATATAAATTATAGATACACACACAGAAAAGGAGGAGGGTAGCCAATCGAGAAAAATAAAAGAAAGAGAACGCTGTCAGCTGGAAGAAAAGAACGTAGAGAAAAGCAGAGAAAAAGAAGATAAGGAAAGAAGAAAAAAGAAAGAAGAAAAGAAAAAAAAGAAGGGGAAAGTCAACGCAGAAAAATAGAGAAAGAAAGAGAATAAAGAAAAAAGAAAAAAAAAACTGCAAATACCAGAAATAATCATGTTTCGTCAAATTTTGGTAATGTTCTACTTTTGCGTGTTTAATTTCAACGATTTGATTGGCTAAATATTTTTATTGTTAGAATTGGTGAAGTGGCTTAAGGTTTTTATTATATGTTTAATTTCAATATTTTCATGTAATTTTGATACTTGTTAATTAATTATTGTGTGTTCAATGCTATTTGTTGTTTGCGCAACAATTAATTGATTTAGGGATAATACTGAAATCGATAGGTGATGTATAATTCTAGCT